CTATATTTCACTGAACATCGCATACGTCATTTGAGAAAAGATAATATCTTGATTAATTGTTTGACTTAATAGAAATTGTACTCGATATTGGTGAACGTTTTCGAGGTGTCCGTTAGAGCGGATTTCGTATGACTGGGACACCGTTACCGCACGGTTACCACACAGTTACCGGACCTGGCCTGCACAATTTTGGTGAACCAATGGGGCACTGGAATTTGGTTACAGTACGATTACAGTCACAGTACAGTACCGTCCGTTTCCCATTCATACGAAATCCGCTCTATAGAAGGGTTAACTTCCTTTACAGTGGAAGCTCGATAACACTTAATAATAACCACATTCGATATTTTGGTTGACTTAACACGGCCAAGAGTTGAGGACGAGGCTCAGGTGAAACAATGAACAATTCTTTGGTTCCCCAGAGCCTCGTCTTCAATTCTTTTGTACATGATTATTCAACTAGAATATCGAAAATGGTCGATTAAAATGGTCGATTATGGTCCGAAGATGCCCGTTATAGCGAGAGTGCGTACTAGTACGAACCTTCACAATGTCAAAGAAGCACTCTCTATCGTGGATGTCAACAAGTCTGTCGTAAAACACTCGGTACACCTCGTGGACCCAKAGMCKTATMACTTTACCACTATCAGTAGCACACTGACCAGGAAATAACAGAATACCCTGAAAAAAAAAAACTACATTGGTAAAGAGCCTGAAGCAGGTATTTTAMTGATTTCGTTTCATCCTCTACCAGAATGCTCTGGWCGTTGCTTTTATTCTTGTTCAGATTTGTATACACTTTATAGTGAATGAATTTCAAGTTTTCTCTTATGTTTTTTTTTTATTTGACCATTTCACCAATGACAAACAGAACCAKGTTTTCAATTCAAACGAAGACAGAGAGATTTCCATAGTGATCCTGTTTCTGTGGTTTGTAACGGCCAGGGTTGATTACGTCTTCRGTGGTTCTTTTTCGTCTRTCCAATGCTGTTTTAAACCGTAGGTCCTGCCTTATTACACTTTTGCCTATATATAGACAAAAGTTTGATAAGACATGACCTCCGGTTTAAGGTCCTTATGGGAGGACGTGATTCCCTAACCATTTTCAGGCGYTTGCAGTAAACGTGAATCTAAAACTGTCTAATATCTTAATAGGCCTTTTGCATGAAACAGTCACATGGTACTAAATCCGTCATACTTGATGGCAAAAGAATGTWAACAACCTMAAAGGAACGTAGCCCGTCAAACTTGACTTTTCTTTGTTTTGGAAGTCCCAGTGGGTATTTTGCCATCCAGTATGTCGGATTTAGTACCATGTGACCGTTTCATGCAAAAGGCCTGGCCTATTATTTGAAGAACCTGAGTATTGTTCCTGCCTTAACCCAGAATCCGCCGCGCAATAGTCGGGTGACCTACCAACAAAGCTAAGCGGTTCTCGATATTTTTCAAAGATACGAATTACCTGTACAACTCTTGAGAAATCCCTGAGGTTAAAAACGTAGTGAGACTTGGATGGAGTGGGTAGGAAGTTCCTTATGGCCTGGTTATACACTTCTATGGTGGCACTTATCATAATCTACAAGAGCAATTTAAAACAACGATTGTTTATATCAGCTCTGTTTAATGGGCTGGTTTCTTGCTGTTGTTCTCCTGCTCTACAGGACACAAGACCCAAAGAAACCAAGTTGCTATCGGGACACCTCACTCTACTTGCTTTGTGGAATGCAATCAGGCAATAATAATTTTAAAATTGATTGACTTATTTCAAAATTAACACTCAGCTATTCCAAAATGAGTAGAATGCCTCTTTCCACTAATGACGTCATTTGTTTAGCGAAGTGCATCATGGTATTGATAAAAGTACAAAGATGGCGGACGTCTTATAAAAAAACTATGAAGAACGAAGTTTCTTTGCAAAACTAACTTAATTTGTCAATAATCCTTTAGGAAAACAGTGAGAATAAGATTGCTTAATACTAGATTACACTCACGGACCTCTCTGAGAATTAAGTGATACTTCTTCTTCTTCTTCATAAAACAGCATGAAACATGCTTTAGTTTAAACTTTAATACCATGGTGCATTGCGCCGAACATCGTATGACGTCATAACCGGATCGATTATTTTAAAATGGAGTTACAATAAAGTACCTTGGAGTATCTCCGCAGTTGGTTTTCAAATCCACGATTATTAAAGTGCCAATCCATAATGATCGAAAAGATGTTTTTCATGGTGTTGACACTGAACGAATCGATTGAAATGACGTTGAAGTGACACAAAAATCTTGGTGTTATCTCGTTTCTTCCTCCGCCTGGTGGTCCCATTGCCGAGACCATCAACAGATCGACAAGATTGAGAACAGATGTGTCTTTCCTAGAAAAAAATGTGAATGAGAATTTTGCATACATTTGTGCTTTAGTACCCTTTATCAAATTCATTAATAATCAATAAGGCAAAAACAATGAAAAATAGACGCTCTTAGAGCGTGAAGTCGGGCTACAATCGTGGACAAAATACCTTGGACCGTAGCGCTCTTTTTGCACAATATCTATAATTATCTTCGTGTATCTCAGAACTTATCTCCCCATACCCCCCTGGAGCAATGTTGCTAGTGACCTTGGATGCTTGTGTCGTTTGGACAGTCGCAAAAMGATCACATTGMAACCATTTCCACACAACATTGCCTTTAGGGGGTCAAGGGGGATGCATTTCTTATATGGTAATGCTAAAAACAGCTAAGTTTAAAATTATGGTCCAAGGTTTTTGGCAACGATTGTATGTCAAGCATTTTATCTACCTTTGTATACAATTAAATCTTTAATAGCAAATCCATAGTTTTTTATTTTTCCACTTCCAATTTCAACTATTTACCATTAAATTGTGTTACAAGGCTATAAACCCTGAACTCTGCCAGGGGATTTAGAAAAAAAAATCATTATAATAGATTATTTTTGTACTCAATTTAGCACTATTCTACATCTAATACGTAATATCTACATTATATTAAACTCGAATCCCAACTCGAAATCCAACTCCAAGTCTGCGACTCGAACTCGAAGACTATGAAATAAACGGGAATTCCCCTTAACTTCCACAAGCGCGTTATGGTGTCATAGGCAATTTGTATGAAGGATACCACACCATTAGTACGAATCGTATAGTTAAGTTATATGAACATCTGTAAATATCAAATAACGCCATAAGGTCACCATATAACGTCAAGCTCAGACATGAATAAACTCACGTGGTGTTATGATATCGGTTCATTTCCACTGCGTCAATATTCCTGTTCGCTTTGATGCTGCTTTATTTGTCAAAATGGCAGATAAAATCGTTCATTCGTGCTTGTTGTCCAAGATTGCYATCRSTCTATCGGTSGTCAGTTTGTTGTTATGCTGTGGTGTGTTTTTACGAACAGAATTAATGCTAAACGAGCTGTATTCAAGAGACATCAAGCTGCCAGACAAGATGACTTCAAAACACCACATAAACAATGGCATGGATCGTCTCGACAAAGATCATCGTTCAAAACGAACATTAGAGAAACAAGAAGCAAAACAAAATCAAGAGATTCTAAGAAGAAATGCAAGAGATGTCACAACAGCAAACAATAACACTATAAAACTGCTTACTCGTATATTATCCCAGAAAATGCGTCAAGAGGTCCGAAAAACACTTCACACTAACAGTTATAAGATTCTAATAGCAGGACCCCCCGGCCCACCGGGGAAAACCGGTCCTAGAGGACCGAGAGGATTCACTGGAAAAACTGGACGTCGAGGAAAACGAGGACCACGTGGTTTTCCTGGAAAAATTGGACTTCCTGGTCCAAGAGGAATAACAGGACCAAAGGGACCAAAGGGACCAAAGGGAGATCGTGGTCCTTCCTTAGCACGTCCAACAGTACTCATTTCACCAACACATCTCATCGTCAATGAAAGCCAGTCCGCCATCTTACATTGTTCGTCTAGTGGTTATCCTCGACCTGATGTTGTGTGGAGTAAAAAC